TAGACTTTAACATATTTACCTACAATTTGTGGAGTTAACTTTTTCCGTATTCCGTCTCAGAGCCAACTAACTTTGTGTCTGACTTTTTGTAGGTGTTGAATTTACGTCGCTTTCTTTGTTTTACGATAACAAATTGCAGGCAAACACGCGAATGCTTTCAGTGGGTCCTTGTCTGCAGCGAGGACATGATATGTACATAAATATGTTCTTTGAGTGCTGATATTAATTTTTCATAGACACGAAACTCGTTTCTGCCCCGTGCCACAGACGCAGTCTAGTGCTTAATGAAATAATTAGTGGACTCTGCTTATTTAAGTCATTATTCGTTTAATGCGCTAAGTCGCGATTCAATATGACAATTCCTATTTAAATTATAATCATGTTTTAATGCTCTTGGAAAATGTATATGCTTGGCTTCATTTATTATTATTTTTATAACTTTTTTTCAAATTTTTTTCATATTTTTTGTTCGCAGTTCAACGCCCACAATTAGTTCCACTTAAATAAATCAAAAGAAATGTTTGTAAACATTTGCCCACACAGGCTGCCACACATACACACACACACACACAGACAGAGCGAAAAGCATGTTATATGAAATTGCTGTTGTTGCTTTTTTTTGCAAAAACCACAATTGTTTTTGCTTTATTCGAGTGTACGCTTTTAATGAATAATGCATTCATATTTACCGAGATGTACAAATTGCATGCGGCTGAGTATTAAAAATTAAAGTAGCTTCAAGTTTTACGCAGTTGAAAACATCAGTTGAACACGCTCAACAAATTTTCGTGCTTTAAAGCAAGAGGCAAAACAATTTAAAGATTATACAATATATTATTATACATATGTCGTATAGTATTGTATAGTATATATGTAACTTTCAGCTTAGACTCAGCTCACACAGCAACAGCTTAACCTATGTATTCGCCCCATTTAAAGCTGTGAGCTAAATTTCACAAATGAATTATAAAGCCACATCAAACCTTCTCTCTATCTACTGGTGTCTTGACAGAATACAGTGAAATATATATTATTGTCACCTGTATTCGAAATGTGTTTCTTAAATATATAAATGAGCCCGTCACTAGAGCTATTTGTTAATCATGGTTTTCCTTTGTTTTTCTTTTGTGCTTTGCTTTTTAAGGCATACCCTTGGGGTAAAAGATGAGCGCTCCACACGCGTTGGCGCCATCAACTTTTGTCTTTATGAGCACCCAAAATCCAATTAACACATGCTGCCATATTTCCGGGCTAATCCTTCCCAGAGGCGGCTGCGCAAATTACAATTTAAAAAATAATTACGAAAATGTCTGCAATGAAAATTCGCTCGCAGGCATCGCCGTCGCTGCTCCCATTTCGCTGCAATTTCTGAAAAGGCGCTAAATGTTAATGAACATTATAAAAACAATTGCAAGTAATTATAATTTGAATGATAATAGCGAAACTTCTTAATCCCCGCTACGGTAATTTTTATGCCACACTTCTCGCGCTCGCTCTCTCTCTCTCTATCTCGCTCTCTAAGCCACCCACCCATCAGCTACCCATCATTCCATTTTTTTGCTCTCTCTTTCACGCTTACAGCGGAGACAATTCACAAAGGCTTTGGCGACGTTTCGCACAAAACGTGAAAATGCATAATAAAGGGGGCGTGCCACTGGAACTGGCACATCAAATAACAAAGAGAGAGATGTGAAAGAGAGAGAGAGGGACTAAAGAGAAACGAGTTGCTTGTAATTAAATTCTTTTTAATGAAACCTCAAAACAAACAAAAGCTTTCTGCAAAGGAAAATCTGAAAAAATAACTCGCAACAATAACGCGAAAAAACCAATAGCAAAAAATGAATGAATGAAAATGTGTTTGAGAAACAAGTGACAAAGAGACGCAATAATAAACAAAAGAGTTAAAATGCAGATTAAAAAACTTAATAATTCTTGGGATTTATGGAAAGAAAGAATCATGAAAATATGAATTGGGAAAATTTTTATTCTCTGATCATTTTTTTATTTATAAAAATTATTTTAGTTTATTATTTGCATATGTTGATGTTTTTCTAGAGTATTAGATGATGTAGGCGAGAGCTTTAGCTGAGTTAAGGAATTAATTCTATATTGAGATGATAACTAAATGAAACGATTTGGAAAGTGTGGTAATTATATAACCTTATGTCTTTTACGTCAACTGATAAGGGTAAAGTAAAAAAAGTATGATCAATAAACTTAATTCAATTAGAAAATTTATAATTATTTAATCGATCGAAAGTTTCTACTCTTTTAAAAGTTGTCTTTAAGCTTATTTTAATTCCTAAATTAAGTTACTTTCAGGCAGTCTCATTGACAGCTCTGCACAATTCTCGAATAATTGCCTTGGCCTTTCGCTGCGCCTCTGATCATTGAACATTGTCTTGGCCCTCATAAACAGCCAACTATACAGCAGCGTCAAGAAAATTAATTCTAATTTGTAGTTAGCCAAAAAGGAAACTACCCGCAACTGTTGGCGGGCAAGAAGAAGAGTAGTCGCTACTCCCATTTCAGCAAAGGCATACTGAGTCCTTTGCACACTTTGCAGCTAATTATTCAGATGAAAGAGGCTGAGGAGAGCCAGGAGACAGACATAGAGAGAGAGCGAGGCATGTTGCTCAGCGAAAAATCAAACAACGAAATTGCTACTTGCAATTTCTCGTCACGTTCAAAACTTAATTAGTACATCAGGACATCATCAGAGATGCTGCTTCAGTTGCTTCCGCTCCTGCTCCAGCTGCTGACGCCTTTGCGGCCAACCAGCCAGTCAGCCAAGCAGCCAAGACAACGACTGGTGGCTTGGCCAGTGCTCAGTTTAAGAGCGAGGCGTTAGAAGGGGTCTGAATGGGAAGTCGAGCCTGTCATAAGGACGTCATGTTTCTTAATTAGTTCTTTGTTATCATAACTTTTTGGCGAAGCGTTGCGTCCACCGCAGCCCAACAGCAGTTGCGCAGCCTTGGACTTTATCGAATTTTCTTAGTCTTGGCGCTTCATTAGCGTCATGTACTATGACAGCCTAGTCGAATTTTAGATTCCAACCATGCCTGTATCCACTGGGAGACGCATACGCACAGCTGTATCATCGACATCAACGGATTTGCTAAGGCAACTGGTGGAATACGACAATACGTTGTGCCAGAGCTTCGAGGTAAATAAACACACACACACACACACACACACTAAGAGAGAGAGGGGGAGAGAAAGAGATTTTGGCATGCCGCACACGTAGAAGATTTCCGCACGAATTCGCAAAGCAACTCTTGATCCCTTTGACTCGTGGACATGTTTTCTCTGGCATTCTCTTTGATGTTTACAAATTACACCAAAAGTTGGCAAACAAATTTTCTTATTCACTTTTACCGACTGCACACACAATAAAATGGCCAAGCCAAAGCCCCAAGCCCCAAGTCCTAAGCCCCAGTCCCCAACCCTTGTTGGTGCCTTTGCGCTGAGAAATGCTTGTAAATGTGCCAAGTGAAATTGCGACCAGGAGACAAAAATTTTGTATGTGTGTAAAATACATTTGGAATGCATTCTTGAGTCCTGGCCAAAATAATCGAAAAGTTTCAGTTGGGCTTTTAGATCGCTTTAGCAATTGGATTTACCAAGATTAACGGCAAAGGCGCTTAGAGTGGGCAGAGAACGAATGGCAAATACCCTGTGCTTGAAGTTGAGAAAGATTTTATGCTCAGATTGAAACCAAAGTTTTAATAAACTGAATGAAAGATGAAATTACTGAATGAGTTTTCCATCTTCAAAGGACAATCGCTGATCATTATATGATATAACTCCCAGGTGATGCTCATTTCTTTAGCAACCTCTGCCATGAGTTACTTTTTTCAGATGGAAGATATTTTCAAACTTTAGACATGCAGACACTTTTATAGTCTCAACTTCGGCTATCATTCAAGTATATGTAGTCCAAGTGGATATACTCCATCATACGATATCGCAACATATTTTTTTATATTTTTCTAAAATATTTTTGAGTTGTTACCTAAAAATAACATTTGACTGCCTTGTAAAAGTAGCAAAATTCGAAACTAAAAATAACTTTTTTAAATTTACCCAATTATATTTTTACGCTGTGAAAAGTTTGTGCTTTTCTACTATGTGGAAAAGGCTGCACATAGTTTTCATATGCTGATCTCCAACATGGCCAAACCGACGCTCAACTTTCTCTCTCTCTCTCTTTCTCTCTGAGTGTGTTTCAGTGCGTGTGCAAAATTCATTTGTGCAAACAACAACGATAAAAACATCTTCAAGTCGAAGGATGTGCAAAAAGTTTTTTGTTCACTCATTCATAAGTTTTTAATTAAATTGCCGTCACATATTTTTCTGAGCTCAAACAAAGTCGCTTTTGATGACGGTCTCCGACATGGGGTTGTTTAACTGACAGCGCAGCACTTTTTTATGTTCTTTTTTTCGTATAACTATTTTATTTAATTCTCACTAATTAGGCTTTGTTTGAATGAGTATTCCGACCACATTCAGAGTTGGTTTTAATAATTTATTAGTTGAACTAATACGAATTTCTTACTGCTGCTCAGATTAGACTCAGAGTTGATTAGCTTGAGAGGTTCAGTCAGGAGTGATTGACTTTGTTATACTCTCACAATACATACTCATAACTGAGAAAGCTAGCTGTAATGTTGCGAAATTAAACTTCGACGTTCAAGTCCATGAATTAAACCCAAAAAATTAGTTTAATAAAGATTTTGGCAAAGCTTATCGATAGTTTCAAACTCACTTGACCTGAGGTGTATTTTCATGCAGTCAGACATTGAATCTCATGAAGAATATTTATATCTATTTGAATTCCCCACCCGGAATATAAACACTTTATGAGGACAAGCTGGCCTGCTTCTGCCTATATAATGTCTTTGACTTTCAACTTTGAGTAATCAATGAATTAAATTACATAAAATACTTGAAATTTATTAAAAAATAAATCAATATCAAATACACTAGAAATTCTGGTACTAATTTAAAATAATATGATGTTTGAGATCATGTTTATGTAATTCTTCGGTAACATCGTCTTCCATGCGCCTGGGTGGCAACATTTTCTTTTTGACCTCATCCATTTGTTTTTGCATTCTGGGCACATTGAACTCGCCATTCTTGACCGGCTTGAGTATTGGAAACGAGATCAGTTTCAAGTCCTTGAGTCGCAGCAGCCGACGACAGAGCAGCTCCAGTGGCGCCTCCATGTTCCAAGCAGCGCGTGACGACAGCTCACAGTAGTCGAAGTTGGGTTGCTGACGATACAGCAGAGCGGGGCACATGCGCTTCAGTTCCGCCTTGTTGCCACACACAACCACCGGCAGCTGCTTGCCGCAAATCTCCGTGAACTGTCGTTGCCAACGCGCCACACTCGCCGCAGAGCTGGCGGAGCTCAGATCGAACATGATGATGGCACATGTGGCATAGAAGAAGTAGCCATTGTGTAGTCCCCCATGCCGGGCATCGCCTGCCACGTCCCACAGCTCCAGTGCGACTGCCTGGTAGCTCGTCTCCAGCGGCAGCGTATGTACATTCAGTCCATAAGTGGGCACATGCTCCTCCTCGAACTGGCCCGTTGCGTGCCGTCGCAGAAAAGTGGACTTGCCCACGCCAGAATCGCCTAGGATGAGGCACTTATACGTATGTTGTATGCATACGCTGGGCTTGAGCGCCATGTATGTGTGTGATAGAAAATATATAAAAATGTATGTGTCAGTTGGAGTAATCCTAGAGCTTAAAGCTAACTTTGATTGGGTTTTGTGTATAGCGTGTCTGTATAGTATTTTAGCAACATAGATTTAAGCTGGAATTCGAGTAATGTAGTTGGAGCGAGAGCTTAAAGCTATCTACTCATTAGGAAAAAAATACATGTGAGACGTGCACAGAGATAAGATATTGGATAGATGCTATGATCCTCATGCTGTCTTTGACTTGGAAAGACAGATATTAGATTAGCAGTTAGATCTCTGTCAGCATCCTCTACATAATAACCTAAGATTTAAATGGCTGACTGCAATTTTCTGGTTTGTAATAATCAGCCAGAGTTAATGCTGTAGAAACTGTCTTAGAGCTCTTCTGTCATTCTTCTCATAGAACATACTTATAGACTACTTAAGCAGTTAGCCATAAATAACAATAGCAAACTTCTTAGAGCAACTCAGTTTATGACTTCAAGTACGACACGAGCTAGTTCGAGTTATTGATAAATGCTGTCGCTGCCGTTGCCTGTTTAATAATCTTAATAGTTTTGTTTTAGTTGTTGTTGTTTATTTTTTGAGTGCTTTGATAAACATTCGTTTTGCTCAGTTGAATGGGAACTTGGAATGTAGCTCTCAGACGAACGAGCTAGCTAAATATTTGTAATTGCACGCGATGTTTACACGAAATGGGGAAAAACAAATTCAATTGGCCAAGTTGGTGACGGTAACGCTGACTACGATTACTTTGGCCAACAACAACAAAAACATGCCAGCAATGAAAATAAACGTGTAACTGTTTTTAGCACCTGACCCCAGCCCATGCTTACTCCCACCCGCCCAACCTCCCCGCCATCAAATGAGGCGTTAATTGTATTTACACAGCAGTTATGAGAGCCATTTGAATGCACATTAAACCGCAAGACAGCTCGTTAATTCATTCCGAATTTCTAGTTGATGAACAGCCAATCTATTATTGTTTCGAATTAATTGCCTGTCAATTTTTATAACAATCTAGCTAAGATCTGTCAGATGCCTTTCAAGTGAACATGAATATGTATTGCAATAATTTATATAATAATTTCTAAATAATCTAGAATTCTGATCTGTAATTAAAACATAGTTGGAATAAGAACCTAAGATTTTAATTTCCAAAATAGGCAAAAACCAAAAATTTAAAAATCGATAATTATCGATTAATGCAAAATTAAGCAGAGTTCATTAAAGACACATTAGTTTCATCATGGAGACAAGTCTGCCATACGAAATCGATATTTCTGTTATCGATATTCTGCTAAAAAGTAAAAAATTGACAAGATTACTGGAATAGAAAATGGAAGATTTTAAAAATATTTATACTCAAAGACAGTGTACTTAGAATTCGTAAGAGCTCTCTAATGCATACTTCTTCGGAGTTCCAGATGTCCCTAGTTGAGTATGCTTAAAGTGGAGCCTTTTTTGGTACTTTAACGTTTGCGATTGGTATTTCAAATGGCCTAATTGAGCTGCCGTTGCCAGACAAATGTTACTCGGATTGACAGCGGGAAAACGCAACGCTTGACATGACATAGGAACTGCTCGAGCTGCTGGTGACTGCTGACTGCGGACAGCTGACTGCTGACTGGAGTTAGTGACGACCGGGCACTGCTGTCTGCTGCCTGCTGCCAGCTGCTGTAGCAGTTACGAGCAGTGTCTGTGGAGTCGAATTCATTCGTCTACGGTTATGCGTTGGCGGCGCAATTGTCAATTCCATCAATCAGTAGGATTGACATTTGGGTTACCATTGCGAATTGAGAGAACTACATGCTTCGCTCTGGCTCTGGCTCTGAGTCTAGCTCGGGCGCTGGCACTGGCTGTTGTAATTGATGTTGAATACCTACCGCCCGGAAGCAGCTAAATGGATAAAGCATTACACTGGAGAGCAAAGCCAATAGAGAGAGAGAGAAAGAGACGCACACAAATTAGTAACATAACCGGATTTCGCATTTTCAAATGCAAAGTATTTTCATTTGTGGAACTGAAAAAGCCTTGCCAGCTACTTCCGTAGCCCAGCGTTCGGTAAAAGCCATTTGACAAAAGCGAAAAGCCAAAAGAAAGGCAAGCCCAAACAAAGAAAAACAAGCAAGGCGAATAAAGAAGAATGAAATAATATAAGCCAGACTCACATACAACAAAAAAAAATACGAAGAAAAGAAAAGAAAAAACGTATGGCCAAAATGGATAAGCTTCCCCTGGGTAATCGGCGTGGGAGGCACCGTAGCAAATGGCATTACTTTTCAGCTTCTATAGTCTCCGACGGCCTTCAGCGCACATCCTTTGTGGCTGAGTTGGGGCTAAGGATGGCAGGCCAGCGAGGCGCTTAAATAAAATTTGTTGATTTTATTGAAAAGTGATGATGTGTCAAATTTTTTATCGCATTACCAGCGCGTAGTAGCTCTTATTTTGCTTTTAACCTTGTCATTTGCATAAAATTCGCATTGAATAGACACATTAGCATTTTTAATGGCCCGCTGCCCGCTGAAAGTCCTCTATGCGGCGGCCGGGAGCTACGGTCAACGCCAGTCACGCCGCACGCCTCCAAAAATTTATCAATGCCAAACACGTTTGGGGTTGAAGGTTGTCAGAAAAAAAAGAAAGAAAGAGAAAAAAAAACAAAAGAACAAAAAACCCATAAGAAAGCCATTGAAAAGACGCATTCACTGAAGTGACAAGTGAGCAATATTTCTAGAGCACTCCTACGGGAGACAAAGCCTCAGAGCACAGATTCCAGATTCCAGATTCCAAAGACAAATTGAGCAGCTTAATGCATGTCAAATTGTCAATTGCTTGCGATCTATGCCACACGCTATTGACTCAATGTTAGTTGAATGAATCAGCTGCAAACATAGTAAACGAGTTTTTATGAAAACTTAGTGTAATTCAAAATTATGTTAATATATTTCTAAAACTATTTTATGATTATAAATCAAAATGCTCGTGGATCATCAGCTCTGGATTTCCTACATATATATATATCCTAGTGGCGAAAACTTAATGCGGAAAATTAAAAGAGCATATACATAGAGTCGTAAACTTATATAGAGACTTATTAACTTAAAGCTCAACTGATGGACCTACAACATCTTCCATTTCAGTGATCTTCACTACGATCTCTCAGGAGCATCAATATAATTATCATGTAAAATTAAGCGTATTTCTTGCAGTTCTTCAATCAAACAGAACTTTAAGGTCTTGTTTCAAATGATGCATATTCATATGATACTTAATACATATATTTAATAATGTAAAAATAATTTTATGTACCTATCAGTGAATCAATTCAACTTAATATATCACGATCTACAAGCCATAACAGTTATGGCTAAGCTACAACATCAATAACTTCTGAATAAAACATGAAGAGCATTCGTTTTGCTTTACGACGACTTATACCCACGTAACTGATAATCCTAAGAATCTATCTTCTCAGATCAACTCTTGACTTAAGGCCGTCTCTGGCTGCCCAAATGCTTAGCTATTCCATTTGTTCTGCAATCACAGAAGGCTTTCTAGAACGTGGCCATAACATGTTGCTCTGACGTCGCGTAATCCGCAGAGTGAAATTTTATTCGTGCTGGCCCAGTTTGGCGCAGATGTAAGGCAATGTCTTTGCATTAGAGCGCATCTCGGCCATAAATAACATGACGTTTCATTAGGCTCTGAAAATGAAAAGCTATGATCACCTGGGCAGGCCACCTGGCTAGCCAACACGAAGGACCAACTGGTGGCTGCTGCTGCTGCTGCTGCTGTAGCTTCTACTGCTGGCAGCTGTCGGCGCAGGTGTTTTAATCACAGGAACGCGACGCATTTGTGCTCGGTAGTTGGTTGGCACGCATAAATTTTCATTTCCATTTTCATGGCTCAACGCACAAAACGCAGGCAGGCACAGAACGGCGCGACAGGGACGACTAGGACGACGTTTTGCCATTTGCCTTTGTCGCTTTTTATTGCCTGCACTTCATTTGTTGACGCTATTTCGTTGGCGAGTGCTCATAAACTGGCACCAGTCTCCAGTCTCCAGGCTCAGGTCCCTTTTTGGGTTGATGAGCTAACCGCAAAAAGTTAATTAGAATTAATGCGTTGGGCGTTACCAAAAGCACCCAGGCACACAAACAGGTCAAATCGCATTTAACTGCAGCCCAGGCACAACAACTGTGCTGCGGCCCATTAATATTTCCACACGTTGATGCCGGGCTCACCCGAAGAGGGGGCCATTTGGCCAAAATGACGCGCAATAATCATTTCAATATATGCCACGACTGGAGATCACGTACTCGGGACACTTTAGAACAAATACGCGTATCAAAATGTAACATCACACCAAACGGCATCAACATGCAGCCCACAACAACGCTGTGGCACCGACACAGACACAGATACAGACGCCGGCAGACGCAGTCACGAAATGGCAACAGCCGCCATGGCAAATAGAAGCTCTAATGAAAAGGAAAAGGCAGCAGTTACCCAGTAGGAGCTGGCTGACATTGCAAATAATTTATATTTTCTTTAGCCTGTCCTTTGATACCCTGTAGAGCTTTAGCATGTGTTGAGAGCGGATAGCCGAAGGGGCACAGCAAATCTGATTAATTCTTTACAGATTCCGTATATTCTATACCTTTTTTATGAATAAATGAATAACAGTTAATGGTTACCCCAGTTGGACCCGACTGACATTGCCTAACAACTGCTTTGCAACTGCTTTGCAACTTCTTCTCAACTGTATCCTGTGATAAGTTTTCAGCTCTGTGAAATGATAAATATATTTCTAAGCTAAGCAAATTTTTAAATAATTACCATATACAAGAGCCGCTTAGATTCACAGAAGGGCATGCCAAAATGCTGACTAGGGCAGTGAACATTTCAGATTTCAGACAAAAGAATCTATCAATCATTGCTTCACTTCAAATCTTATAAAATTTTATATAAAATCTAGAATATCT